ATTTTATTTCAGTTTACATTTATTTTGTTTCAAGTAACATAAATGCTTTAACTGTTTTCATTTTAGTTAATAACATAGCAGTCACGTTCACTCTATATAATGGATAGAAAATTCAAACTTTCCTTAATGTTTTTTTGTCTTTAATAAAATTTTGGTGTATGATGTAAATGAGCTGTTTAAATCTCAAACACCCTCCACAGTTCAGCTATGAATATTTATCAGACTGTATCAGTCACTCATTCACGTGTGTGTTTGCTCACGAGCTGCTCTCATGATGGACTGACCGACTGATGATGATGATGGTCACACTGGTTTTGTTCTGCCTGTTCACTGCCGCTCTCTCTGTGGTTTCTGTGCTGCTGTGTTTTGCATGGCTGGTGTTTGTGGTTTCTCTGCAGAGAAGAGGATGAGGAGGAAACTCCTGTCACTGAGTCGGCTTCAGATGATGATGATGATGATGAGGGGGAAATGAACCCTTCTAATCTCAGTATGGTCAGGTATTTTAGTGCAGAGAGCGGGATGTTTCCACGTGTGCTGGTTCTTGAGTCACAGTCACAGACGTCTTGTGCTCCGTCAGATTCACAGTTTGACCTGTGACCTCTGCTGAGGAAGAGTTAGAGGATCTTTTTATGATAAATGTGTCACTCACTGCTGAACACCAAACGATAAACGTTGTTGTCAAGACAAATTCTTACCACACCATTAAACTTCCCCTCTTTAGGAGCCCTAAACGACTAATTACAAATCCTACATCACTGATATATACTTAGCATTTGCAATTTATGTCTTTTAAATTATATATCACCTCATATTACCAAAACTATAACTGCTCAAATTCACTTTCTCTAACTTTGTGTTTCAGTTAGTTTGTGCTAACAAGCTGATCAATTTCTATTCTATTCTATTCTGTTCTATTCCATTCCGTTCTATTCTATTCTATGCTATACTATTCTATTCTATCTATTCTGTTCTATTCTGTTCTATTCTATTCTATCCCATTCCTCTGTGCTATTCTATAGTTCTATTCTGTTCTGTTCTATTCTATTGTTCTGTTCTATTCTGTTCTGTGTTCTATTCTATTCTATGCTATACTATTCTATTCTATTCTATCTATTCCATTCTATTCTGTTCCGTTCCGTTCCATTCTATTCTATCCCATTCCATTCTATTATATTCTATTACATTCTGTTCTGTTCCATTCTATTCTATTATATTCTATTACATTCTGTTCTATTCTATTCTATGCTATACTATTCTATTCTATTCTATCTATTCCATTCTATTCTGTTCCGTTCCATTCTATTCTATTCTATCCCATTCCATTCTATTATATTCTATTACATTCTGTTCTGTTCCATTCCATTCTATTCTATTCTATTCTATTATGGACATATATTTATTCACATATATGTTATATATGATTATTCAATGTATTATTTACATTTTACATCTATATTATTATATATCATACTATATTGTTATTTTTTGTTAACAGTACTATTAATAGTTCACATACATTTATTTACATATATTATACATATTTCCATTATTTTATGTATTATTATTTTATTTGTATTTATATATATTATTTTATAAATTATGTTATTTATTATTTACATACTTCTATATAATACATTATATTATATAATCTATATTATATTACATTATTATTCAGTATATTATCAGATTATGTGTTATTTAAATATATTTACAGTATATTATGTCATCAATATAATGTATTGTTTACATATATGTATTTACATATAATAATGTTTTTTAAACATTTTAATTACGTACTTTTGTTATATTATTATTTAATATATTATCAGATTATATATAATTTACATATATTTATTTACATGTGTTGTTATGTATTATTTTCATATATTATTATTTAATATATTATTATATATATAATCAGTATTATGTATCATTTGCATATATATTGTTATATATTATTATTTGATGTGTTTTCTACATACTCGCATATTATTATTTCATATATTATCAGTATTAAGTATTATTTATTGTGTTATTATATTATGCATAATCAATATTATGTAGCTGATTAGTTAGCAGGACAACACACGTGTGTTTGTGGTGGCAGGTTGGTTTTAACGCTGTCTCCAGGAACATACAATAAAACAAACACAAGTCCCTGTTTTATTTTACCCATGATGCCGTTCTTTAGCAGATCAGAGCACAGCAGCAAACTCACACCTGAGGAGGAGGAGGCGGAGCCGAGGAAGGCCCCAGAGACCCCACCCCCTCCTGACTCCACCCAGCCGTCGCTCCTGGCCAATCTGTTGGCACAGCGCCGGTCGTCTGTCAGCGTCCCGCCGTCCAATGAGATCAGCCCTCCGCTGCGAGGCTCCGCCCACATGCCGTACCTGCCCCACTCGCCCTTCTTCCTGTTCTCCTACGATCTGCAGGAGCAGCAGGATCAGAAGAGCAGCAGGTAGACGCCTCGTATCCCATGATGCACCTGCTCACGTGTGTCTCCAGCGGATCTGCTGATCCGCTGATGATCAGCACTGCTTCTGTTCCCTGTGTGAATGCGTCACGTTATGCTTGATGTTGAACGGCGTCACACATCGCTCCTGAAGCTCCCGGCGTCTGATGATGGTTTCTGAATCGAGTCTTCATTAGCACTCACTCTGTCTTTCTGTCTGTGGTTTCTCTCAGGTCGTTCTCTGCTGTAAGTTCTTCATCCACAGCAGCCAAACAACACAATGACCGGTGAGCTCAGTGCTACTCTTCTTCTGTCTATTCACATTCACTTCTATACAGCAGTGTATACAATACAGATCGATTCTCAGCAGCTTCACATTAATAAACAGGAATAGTGTCAATGTTCATCAGTTATGAAACTAATTCAGTTTCAGCTGTAAGCACCTCTTCACCTCTAGTGTTTATTCAGTTTAGTTCAACAACTGTGTCAATATTATATTATATTATATTATATCTTGTATTATTTACAGACTATTATTATTATTATTATATTACCAGTATTATTTACTTATATATTATAATTTATTGTATAACATTAATATATTATCAGTAGAATTATAATTTAATATACATACATTTATGTGTGTGTGTGTGTCAAAATTAGCTCAACGCAGGCGATTAATTTTTTTCAGTTTAATGCGTTAAAAATATTTAATGCAATAAACGCAGGGGCGGGGCTAGGTTGATGAAAAGTAAATAATTAAATCATAAAATGTGAAATTAAATCAATTTTGACAAAAACAATCGAAATAAAACATACTTAAATAATATGAAGTAATTTTTACGTGTTGAATGTCATGTGAGCGTGAACATTCGATATACATATGTTGTTAAATTATTGAAATATTAGCTTAATAGAAATAGAGAATGCAGAGTGTTGATAGTAATGATGGTGTTTTAGGCCTGCTCTGGGCGGCCTGCTGTCGTCCTCGTACCGGCAGCATCAGGAATCTCTGGCGGCGGAGAGAGAGAGACGACGGCTGGAGCGAGAGGAGCGACTGCAGCGCATCGAGAGAGAGGAGCGCAACCGACACAGGTCCAGCCTCTACAATACACTCAATCACACACACATGATGAGTTATCATCATACAGATCACCTGATCTCATCCTCCTTCCTGTGTGTGTGTGTGTGTGTTGGAGTATCTCACAAATGTGCACTACAAACGTAGATAAATATACTGATGCAAGCTTTGCTTACTTCCATTAGCATCTGACAAGAAATTATGCTTATTTCTAGTGCTGGGCGGTATACCGGTTCATACCGAATACCGGTGTTTATTTTTGTTATGATATGAATTTTTAAAATTCCGCAGTATGTCGCTTAAACAACGTGCGGAACGCGACACTGTTTGAAAGGGGTCCCTTTTCACTGTTGCACTGTGGTGAGGGAACAGCTGTATGTGTTACTAAGCGTGAAAGTTCCTAACTAATAGAACGTGATGACACAGGAGAACTAATCCACAATATCCACACTGACCGCCACAAATATCCACCGGCCCCTGCCATCAGCTCCCGCGTCTCACACACACGAGCGCGACTTTAGCACTAGATTTAGCAACTTTCAGACCCTTTTAGCGGCTTTTTTCCATAGAATATTCATACTGACAAACCTAGCGACTTTTTTGGATAAACCTTAGCTATGGTTCAGTTGGAAGATTTCTCCAGTGCTGTCCCGCGAACGCGAGGTCTGACTTTCCCGGAGAAGCAGAGCCGGAGTGGGACTCATTTTCAGCCCTGGAGTTTCGTGCCTTAGACCGGCCCACTTTTTTCTTTTTCTTTTTTAATCTATTATTCGCTCGCATATCTCCTACAACTGAGGTTTTTGTTTTTGTTTTTTTTTTGAGCAAGGTGCCGCTGTCAGGGGAGTCAAAAGATAATTACATCATCATTAAGGTTGCCAATTAACTTCAGAAATGGAAAATAAGGGCTAATTGTGATTCTTTATCTTTTATTCTTTAAGAAAATAGTGTTTATTCTTGTAGAAAATAAGTGTTTATTCTTTAAGAAAATAAGGGACAGAATAAGGGACGATCCAAATATTTGTACTGTACAATAATGTAGGCCTATATCTGCCTGCAGTTAAAAGTTCTCAGAAATAATCACTTTTGTTTTGCTTAACCCATTTATGTACAGTTATTCTAAAAAAATTTTTTATGTCATCGGCCTGAGTAAATTTTACCATTATAGAATTGTGACTTTACAAGGGTAGTAATTTAGGAGGTGAAAATACTGTGAAATTACAAATGGCATGGAATTTGAAAGCATAACAACTGAAGGTCTATGAAACGTCAGTCAATAAAGCATTTTTTTAAACAATGGCACTT